AGGGGGGGGGGTGCAAAGGGGGTGGGGGCAGAAAGAGGAGACGAAAGAAGACGACAGAACATTGCTCTAGAGCAGGAACGGAGGTGAAAGGAGGCACTTTTGAGGAACAGAAATTTCCGTCGCTATCCGGATTCAAACCCGGGACCTATTGAATGAGAGGCGAACACCTTACCCTCTCGACCACGACAGCTCCCTAGAACTTTCAGTATCTATGATATAATCAAACACGAAAAAATGTGCGCATTCAGGGGCGCACAAAAAATAGAACAAAAGGAAGGACTTCCGTAACGAGCGACCACCCCAACAAACACAGTAATAAAGAAGAGACCTAACCCTAGATCTAGATCTAATCCTGATCCAACTCCTAACTATAATTTTTTTTTTGTCACCTGTCCCCGTGGTTTTATGCACCCCGCATAATTTAGCAAAATTTGATCATTTTTTTGGGAATAATTTCTGATTATTTTCCTTTATCATTCTTTGTTAAAATTAACAGAATCACATATTTTCACATTGTTGGGCTTAGGTTGCATAATTTCTGATTTTATTTTGCGTAAAACGGTTCCCATAAAACCGCGGGGACAGCCTTGACCCTACCCCTACCCTCACCCTAACCCTCTATCTATTCTACTGTTTCATAGTGGTCGCTCATTACGGAAGTCCACCTGAACTGAAAGTGGCAAGAAGTTAGTAGTAGTAGATTAGATCTAGAATCTAGATCTAGATCTAGTAGTAAGAATTGGCCTACCTTTGTTCTGTCAGCGAGTCAGACGAGTCTTCACTTGGGTTGATGACTGCTCTCGGTTGGATATGGAAGAACTGAAGTCCTTTCTTCTCCCATTTGACGTCCTCCATACGTTTTACACTCGTTTCACACTGCCGCCAATAAACTTTGTCCACTCGAGATATCGCAATTTCTGTTACCTGTTTGACATATCTAAATTTAAAGGTTGTATTTTTAGATGCAATTATTGTGCCTTTGATCTTCGCCCAGACGAGCTCAGTTATGGAATTTAAATGGGAGGGATGGCAACCGTAGGCAAAGGTGTCCGTGCTGTTCCACAATTTTTTTGTCAACTTGAGTCTTTGGCTTTTCTGCTTTCTTTAACTTAACCAGCAAAAGTAGCCCGGGTTTAACTTAGTGTAAGCTGAGACAGTACAAAAATGGTATGCTCTCTTTGTTGAGCCTATCTTTTATTTCTTCTTTCCTGATTGCACTTGTTTGAATGTTGTCCTCTTCTTTCACTACGTTGTGATATGACGCGTTGTCTATCTCTAAGCAAGATGGTTTATCCAGTGCTGGTAATTTTTTGTTTTTTGAATAATCCAATTTCGAAATGTGCTGCCATTCATTTCCTTGTGATAATCACTGTTGTCACTGGAATTTGACTTGAAAATTAGCTCTGTGTTTTCAAGTGAACCCTTTTTAGTGCTTTCACAGTGTGCAATTATCAGTCTCTCTCCTTTTCCAGCTAGATCTTGTCTTTAAATAAATCGTTGACACAAAACGAATTCAAGCACAAAACTTACATTGTAACAAGGGAACATCCGTTGTGTGAAATGATTCAAAATTCTGAAGCGAGACAACATCTCCCCCGACTTCTCTATGTTGTTGTTGTGAAGAAAGACAGAACGTCATTTTAAAAAAACCCTGATTAATCTTGAGTCTCGCTCCACGTGCGCTAGTGTAGTTGAGTAAAAAAAAATCCACGATTTGTTGAGCAGCAAGCAGCCTGAGGTTAAAGTTAAAGGTGAGTTTTCACTCCGCTCCACGTGCCCACGTGCTGTGACGTCCGTTCGGCGGATTGCTCAGACTTTAAAATAAGGGCTGTGCAGCATGAGTAGAATGGTGAAAAAAAATGGTGAAATGGTAGAGTTAACGAACGTCCATCTCCGAAAGGACCGAGCCAAATGGGAAATTCGTGTAAAGTGTCTTTCCCAAGGACACAACGTCGGACCGAGCTGAGTAGATTAACATGTAGAATGTAAACAACTGAATTGTACATGTTCTAATTTTCCCACCGTCTGATCGGACGAAAGAGCTTGTCCACGGCCTTTACGACTTATGTGAATAGTCTTTAATTGTCGGGATTGCTGTAGGCTAATTATAAATTGCCGAAATGTTCAACGTTTCTATCAATAAAGTGTTCATTAAAGAACCAACTATTGAGATCTAGTACATGTGCACAGGCAATGATAAATGGTCGCTTTTAAGCACTACGGACTTTCGGTGGGCTCCAGATCTAGAAACTGCGGTGACAGACAGTGATTATATAGTTTATCATAATAATCATATCTTAATATATAAAGGGGTTGCTATCAAATGTAAAAAAATAAAAATTAAAAAAAAACAATGCGTGATGATATTGACCCCCCCCCCCCAAAAAAAACAACAAAAAAAACAACAACAACAACAACCAACAACCAGAAAAAAAACCCAACAACAACAACAACCCAACCAGAAACACAAAACACAAAAAACAACAACCGAACACTTTAGTTTAGTATGCAAAGGTAAGAAGATCATGCAAGTTTAGAAGCGGAAGTGGAGATCTAATAATAGAATTTCGAAATGGCAAATGTATCTTTTTACAGAAATAATACAAAAGAATAAATTATTGTAATACTAGTAATAATAGCAGATTAAGAGAATTTCCATAAGATGAATCAAGTACTGAGAAATAGAGATATGTACGGTACGTATTCGTGTAGAAGTGATAGCTACTCCATTTCACACAACAAATACAACATCTTTCTGAACTAACAAATCAGAGAAACGCAAATACAATCAGAGAATAAAGGAAGGAGTTTATTTCCCATCGTCATCAGCATCGTCATTATCATCATCGTTATCATCATCATCATCATCATTATCAAAATCACGATCATCATCATCGTCATCTACAATAAAGAGTGTCAGAAATAGCAAAAAAATAACGACTAAACAACGTCAACGATGACAAAAGTGTTGATTATAACATTGATAATAATCATGATGATAATAATAATAATTATCTTTTTTTATGTTTTACTGCTGTCCAATGGAGCAAAGAATTTGAGCTCCTTTTTTCAAAAGCTTTCCCAAGGTGAAGGACGTAGTCTGATGATACTAGACTGTAGTTATACATGTCACGCACTAAGAGTCTAAGAGTAGGTCACATTAAAACATTTTTCTCTCAAGTCCAGGTACGTCCATTCTTTTACGTCTTCAGGATTCAGGACTGCACAAAACCTGTCAATCAAAAATAAATGAATATATAAAGAATAGTTTTTTTAAAATAACGTCAATAAACTTTGGAAAAGAAAGAACCACTGAGTTGACTTATTTTCTTTTTTTTTTTAAGAAGAAAAAAAGAATGACTGAGCAAATTTTAAAGTAAAAATAAAATAGTGACTGAGCCGGATTCAAAATTTTAAAAATTAGAATTACTAAGCAAACTTCAAAATTAATTTCTTAAATAAAACTGATAACTGAGCAAACTTCAAAATTAAAAGAAAAAGAATCTCTGAGCTAGACTTCTTTTAGAAAAAAAACTTTAAAATAAAAATAAAATAATGGCTGAGAAGAATTCTAAGTTTTAGAAAAGAATGACAGAGCAAACTTCAAATTATTTTTTCTAAAATGATAACTTACCAAACTTCAAAGTACAATTTTTAAAAATTACCGAGCAACTCCAACAAAAAATATTTTTTAAATTTAAAAATGTCAAAGGATTAAGCTGACTGAGCAAAATTTTTTTTTTAAAGCAACACCCAGAGTGAAATAAGCGGGTATTTGATCAAGGAACGCTAAGGATTCGTAGTATTAAGTAATCATAGTTTAGCTGGTGTGAAGAAATACAGACTTCAACATAAGTTAAGGACAACTTGCAAATTTGGCTAAAACTCCCCGAGGACTTCTGTGCAGCACGTGATGGTTAATGGGTTTTTGCCTCTTTAGGGGGCATAGCAGTACGTAGTGTTAATCCATAAACACTTCCAGAACAAAATAATTTGAAACATTCCTTGCTCTCTTTTTTCGGGATTTTTTAATATCACTATCAGGGCTGTCTATCAAGGAGGTCCTTAACTTATGTTGAAGTCTGTAGAGACACCCATGAATACAACAACGGTCATTTACATTTAGTATTTACTCGCTGTTTCCCTTTTGCTTCTGTAGTAAGCTCAATCTGTCCCCCTCGTTTTATCATAAATTATGATCATCATTATATCATTATTAAAATTTATGCAAGAACAATTCTGAAATTATGCAAACTGAGCCCAAAAATGTGAAATTATTCGATTTTGTTAATTTTAACAAACAATGATAAAGGAAAATAATCAGAAATTATGCAAGAAATTTTCAAATTTTGCTAAATTATGCGGGGTGCATAAACCCATGGGGACAGGTAGATCTAGTAAGCTCACAGCATTTACGTGTGTGGGTCGGTCCATCTAGTTGTAGGTATACCGGTTCTCTCTCTCTCTCTCTCTCTCTCTCTCTCTCTCT